GGACATAAAAAGTAATAAATAAAAAGGGATTTTACCGGTATGTAAAAAAATAAAGAGGAAACCAGTTTTGGACCTATAGATTCCACAGGTCCATTACAGTCTGTGGAAGGCAATCTAGTCACAGATGATGGAGAAAAGCTGATGAATTTTCTGCCTTTTTTACTTTGGTTTTAATAAATAAGGGCAGCTGCCAGATGACAAGCTCAGTTGGCAGCAGAGATAGGGAAGGAAACAAACAGCCTGGAATAGTGGCAGACCAGGTTAGGGATTACTTAGAGAAACTAGATGCTTTCAAGAACAGCTTGATGGGATGCACTCTAGGATAGTGAAGGAGCTGACTTAGGTAATTTCAGAGACATTGGGAGTTCAAAGATGTGCCCTGGGAATCGGTGGGAGGGGAGGGGGGCACTGTAATTAGAGTGGCTCTGAGAGCTACCTTAAATAAAGCAGAGTGTCACTTGTATCAGTGTGTCCATGCTGAAAAATGGTGGTGGGGGCTCTTTAACTAAAGCTCGTCAAATAAGATACACATGACGCTGGAGTCTTCTGGAGTGCAGTAATTACCACACTCGATTAATCGAGTGTGCTCTGATGCTCTGTAATACAGCACATCTGAGCAGCCTCCCTGCATGTATATAGCTGCCCATTGGGTCTACTTTTTGAAAACTCTTGGAGGTTGGGTGAGGTCCTGGAGAATTGGGTAAGGGCAAACATAGTGCCCATCTTTTAGAATGGGAGGGAAGAGGATCTGGGGAACTATAGACTAGTCAGCCTGACCTTGATACTGGAAAGATCGTAGAGTCTGGTTCTAAAGAAAACACCTAGAGGAGAACAAGGTGCTCAGGAACAGTCAGCATGGATTCACCAAGAACCAATCATACTTGAATAATCTGATTTCCTTCTCTGATAAAATCACAGGCTCTGTGGATAGGGGGAGAGCAGTGGACATGGTCCATCCTAGACTTCAGCAAGGCTTTTGAGACAGAAAGTATTAGGGTTATTTAGCTTGGAGAACAGAAGATAATTCATCCCTTTTTGAGAGGATAACAGTCTTCGAATACCTGAAGGAAAATTTACAGAACGGTGGAGATGGGCTTTTCTCTGTGACTGTAGGACTAGGAGCATGACCTCATGCTACATCAGGGGAAATTTAGGCTAGAGGTTAGGAAGAACTTCCTGAGTATGAGAGTGATCAGACATTGCAATAAGCTACTTAGAAAACCTCTGTGCTTGGAAACTTTCAAAAGTAAGTTAGACAAACACGGACAGTTTGGTCAAGGATGGTTTAGTCGGGCAAGATCCTGCCTTGAATAGTGGGGGGCTGGACTAGATGATCTTGTGAGGTCCCTTCCAGCCCTACTTTCCTATTATCTTGTGAACTCTATGTTTAGGGCACCTGGCTAAGAAGGGGATGGGGTAAACAGTGGGTGAATCCTCCGCCTACCACCCTTAATTTGTGGACTTAATTCTGATGTTTGTCAGTTAGATGTACTGGTTTGGGTCCAAAAGTTTCAGTTAAATATCTCTTTTCTTACACAGCTAAATCCCAATGTGATAGAAATCCATAAAGCTGCTCTCACTAGATCTCAGTGCATCTCACTGGATGGAGTGAAAGGTGCTTGGTCAAGTAATAGCAAAAATGTACATGTTTTAGAGGTGTAAATGTAACAGGGCCTTAGTATAGACAATGTAAGTAGTGTAACTGGTAGGGGTAAACCTTAGACACCTCTGCCCTTGCTGATTATCTTGATCACCTGCATAAAAATAAAACGCACTACTCTTACATTGAGGTTTCCTTGTCTATGCTCAGATAGTTCACATGAAATAGCCATCTCTCTGAACAATATTACTGATAAAAAATAAAAAAATACCAAAATAAAGTACATACCTATTTTACTTCAAACACCTAAATCACTTATACAGGATTTTTTTTAAACTGCATTTTTGGTCCTTATGCACAGTTGGGGATTGTATTTGGCCCCAGGGCCAACGGTTTAGTGGACAGCACACTTACCCAAGGAGCAGGAGGTAAAAGTTTTAGGGTGTCTTTATTTCTAGGAGGTTTGAACCAGCATCTCCTGTTTCCTAGCAAAGTGCTTTTAGCCACCAGGCCACAGCTAGGCACTTCCCAGGTCATTTTCCCATTGAAGCAGTTGGAGATATTAAATATTCACTTAATATTAATGAATGTGAAATATTAATATTAATATTAAATAATCACTTAATTTTAATATAAAATTCAGTGGACAAACAGCACTGGAAAAGTTACTGCCTAATTGTGATGGCTATAACACAAGCCCCTTCCTTTCTAGGACAGCATCCATCTCATGGGGTGTGCACTCTCTAGCTTGCTCTCCTTTCTTAGGCAAAAATCATTCTTCAAAAGTCATTCTTCAATTAATGAGGCTTCATAAATTAAGTACCTGTCAGGTAACCATACATTTTGTTATGCACATACTGATGATAGCCCATTGCCCAATGGGTGTTAATGTATCAGAGAACATATACTTTATTTAAAGGTTACTAAACAAATCCATATTGTTATTAAAAAAAACAAAGTTCATGCTTTCATTCAGTTCTTTCTGCTTTATTTTTTATTGCTAGAAATATAAAATTAATCTCTCTGTGAGTGTTTTTTGCTTCTCATGGTGTTAAAGCAAGGCTGAATTTGGCCCTTTCTTTTAGATCAGGGCCAGAGAATGCAGTTATTTCAGAGCTAAAGTAAATCATGTAGTGATAAACTGCTAAATGCAAGATCAAACCTGTAATCTGTAGACTCATGTTCATAACAAGAAATAAATAATATAAAATAAAATAAAAGCACAACTGTGCTTTTTGCGTTTTAGCTAAACTGAACTTCTTGCCTTTTTTTTATATCAGGACCTTGCATACTAGCTAGTGCCATGTTAAGAACCCATTATCATATGGATTTATGATAATGATACTTATTGGTAAATAGGAAATGTTATGAGCAGAAACTGGAAATAAATACTTTGATATTATTAGATGGATTCTCACCTCCATTTGACACAGAGATCTTGGCTCTGACTCCAGAGAAATAATTCAGCAATAATAAAGAAATCTTGTAAAATAAAAGCCAAACTTTTGATACTAAGGCTGGTTTTGCTATAGTAGCTATGGCGCAGAAGACTGAAATTTCTGCAGTGCATTGGCTCTACCATGGGTACTGAAGAAAAGGCAACTTCATTTATGCCGGCTAGTGGTACTCAGTAAAGGGAGAATGGTTGCCAGTGATGGGCTGCTAATATTTAAACAAAGTGCTCCCCATAAAACTTCTCCTTTATCTTGTAATTTACTCTGTCATATGAACCCAAGAGCTACCAAAAGGGGAACTAAGGAATCTGTGAAAATAATCCATTTTTAAGTAAAAGCATGTTCACGTAACAGTAACCAAGAATTGAAGGAAACCTATGCTTGCATGGGAATGGTTAAAATTGTGCCTGAAAAAATAAACTGCTACATAGCATTGTTTTGCTTGAGCAAGTCAAGATGGAGGGAAGAGGTAAAGACTTTTATAGGAATGAGCTGTGGAGGAGAGATTCTCTCCCTTGGATTTTTTTTTTTTTTACAGCTGAAACTTGGTGCAGTCTGATCTAAACCAAGGAATATCAGTTGTTTTATAAGTTTGCTTGAGCATTTGTAGGATAAGCTGTTTCTAGGAAGGGTGATTTAGCAGTATGTAGTGAAAGTGTGAATTTGTCATGCCCTTCCTCAAAACAAGGATGGCATTCTAACAAAGGGGACACTGGGAGCTGTCTCAACGCTTCACTCGTCATATAGTTGGTATTAGTTTTTTTCTGAAACTTAGGGCCACAAATATCGCTGCCCTGTATCTTGTGCAGTCATTTAGAACGGTGCACAGTGAACGTTAATGCAACCATTCTAATGTGGTAGCACAGTGACCTTGCATCAATTATTTACAGAGTAATGGAGAATTGGGCCTTTTGTATTTTTACAGTTATAGGCTCCAATGAACCTCTTTTGTTTCCTAACTGAATATCTTTGTCTAGCCATTACTGAAGAGTCTACAGAAGAAACAAATTATGAAAGGAGAAATAGGAAAAAAAAATCATTAAAGGCATGATGACGCGATCAGATTCTAACAGTGACAAGTTTCTCGTACCGGCTCTTGCCTAGTTTGCTGAGCAGGGTCTTTCACTGGGAATGTTTCAGTGAAATGATTCTTCATCATGAAACACAAATTTCTCATTAAAGAAATTTCTCCCAGCTACCTAGCAGTTTTGATGAAGCTGGAAGGTTTTGTGAGAGAGATTACTCAGGTTGAGTATTGGGTTGTTTTTCTTCTTTTTCTTTCCAGCACAAGGTGGAGAAGCAGTCTGTTTTCAACTCCGGCCTTGTTTAGCCAATAGCCTAATCATAGAAGCACATACCTGTACCAGAAAATATCCAAATTAAGCACTTTCTTTGCCTTTCTTTTGTTGTTTTTTTTTTCATGTCAAGGTAATTAGTAGTATCTCAATTTCATATTTTTTTTTGGAAAAAGGAATTTTTTTGAATTCTTGAATGGTCTCAGATGGCATCCTGCTTTAGTTTTATGCACTAACTTAGCTACAGTGGGCTCTTTTTATTGTAAAAAGTCCCTGTGTCTGAAAAAACATGGAGATCGGCGACCAAAAGCAATGATATTAGACCTTGGGTCTCATTTTTACATTTCCTTCTGTGCTGTAGGTACTGATATGCATTTAGTTCCTGAAGAAGTTTTTGTATATCTAATGCTGGGGTTCTCAGACAATGGTACGCATGGCCCTGGGGGTACGCAAGACATCGCTGGGGGGTATGCAGGAGAAATTGTGTAACAGCAGATTTAATTTTCATTATAATCATAATTGGTATCGAAGGGGTTAAATATAAAATGTATGCTGGTATGGGTACACAAGAAAAAGTTAGGGAACCTTCCTTTACTGCTCTCCTTCAGGTCTTTTGTTTTCTTTTTTTTTTCATGTTGGATTTTTCTACAGAGGGCAAAGGGAGAAGGAGAAATCCTCTTCATGACTTCAGAAAGACAGGAGAGATGATGCTAATTAAAGTAGACAACTCACTGGAGGTAAAAACCAAGCTGTTAAACACCACGGAGCAATGTGCCAAGAGATGCAGCAGAAATAAAGGCCTTTCTTTCACTTGCAAGTAAGTTATTCCATCTCTATTATTTTCATTTCTGTAATGAAGTGACTTATATAATACCTGACAGCCAAACCTATAATTTAAATTGACATCAGTGGAACTGCTAGTCTGTATTATGGACAATACATAGCCTAAAATTCGCATTTTTGACAGCTATGATCCTGCTGTACCTGTCCAAAGAGTCTCATTTCTTTATGATATCTGAATTTGAGATTGAAGGGCATGTTCTGAAACTTTTATTGGTGCAATGTCTAATTTTTTTCCTCCCTAGGTTTTAAGAAATGTATTCAAATTCGGAAGTTGCTTTACTTTATTTTACATTATTTTGTCAGTGAACATGTCTTGAGTTTTCCAATTTGACTGAGGATGTGTTCTGTAACTAATGGTTATTGTCATGTATTACTGCTATAATACTGCATCTCATTTCAGACCACATTGTGCCTTCATCCTTTGCACAATATTCCTATTGAATCACTGACAATTATACACAAGCAGCATGCATACCTGTATGGTTGAAGGTCATTGGCATGTCCTTAATATCTCCGCTACAATGGAATCAGATATTATGGGCTGCACAATAATTGAAGTATACTTAATTGTTGCATGATGGCTTTTGTCTGTACTAATACATCATGCTGTTGATTGCTTTCCTTTCTTGGACTTGCTCTCTAGTTGCCTTTGGAACAAAACACTATTATTAATTTTCCCTCTGTCATGTGTTAATCTGTGGCTCCAGCAACAACTAGAAAAAATCAACTGGGGAATGACTGGCTTGGTTGCAGTACTGTAGAGAAGGACCTGGGAGTTATGGTGGCTGAATATGAGACAAGAGTGTGCTCTTGTTGCAAAAAAAAAAAAAAAGCCCAAAGCATCCTGGGTTGTATTAAAAGGAATGTCACTTGCAAATTGAGGAAGTGATTCTTCCTCTCTCTTCAGCAACCACTGTTGAGGCCTCACCTGGAATAATACATGTTGTTTTAGGCCCCACACTTCCAGAAAGATGTGGACCATTTGGAAAGAGTTCAGTACAGGGCAACCACAATAATAAGAGGCCTTAGAGGCAAAACTTATGATAAAAGGCTGAAAGTACTAGTTGTTCAGCCTGGAGAAGAGAAGACCAAAGTGGGATTGGATAGCAGTCTTTAAATACCTGAAGTGTGATTATGGAGAGGATGACGATGGGCTTTTCTGTGTGGCCATAAGGGACAGGATTAGCGCTAATGGCCTCAAGCTGCTGCAGGGGTTATTTAGGCTGGAAGGAAGTTCAGAAGGAACTTTCTGGCTATGAAGGTGGGCAAACATTGGAACAGGTTACCTGGAGAAGTTGTCGCAGCTTGAGCAGGTCAAGAATTTCCATGCTTGAAAACTTTCAAAAGCAGGTTAGACAGAGACTTTACAGGGATAGTTTAGTCAGGGATGAACCTTCTTTCAGCAGCAGGCTTGACTAGATTACCTTGGGAGGTCCCTTCCAGCTCTATTTTTCTATGATCCTATCTAATAGGAAGAGATGCCTTGTTCACTGCAGGATGCTGACCTGGCTGTCGTTCTGATCCTCAAGTTAGTGTGAGTTTTGCCTGATTACAAATAGGAACAAGTCTGAGGCTGTTCCTTGCAGAGTAGATACTCATATGTATTATGATCCTTCTTTTATTGAAGTCATGGACTTCATTGGTCCATAGGATTACTGAGTCTGCCTTCTACCTCGAGTACTTGTTTGCATCTGTGAACAATGGGGTGCAGGCCAGATATGAAATGTTTTCAGGTTAGAATGTTAAATAGCTTTTTTTTCTATCTGTGTCTGACACTATTCACATAGTGTGACCAATCAGAAGCCTAATCCTGTTCCCAATGAAGTCAAAACAATAGCTCTCATAGACTTTGGTAGGAACTGGAATGGGTTGTACATAAATTTCAACACAACGCATAATCTTCTCCATTGAACTCAACTGGAGGAGTGAAAAAGTGGGGCACATCATAAAATTACTTAGGTTTCTCAATAAAAAAGAAAAAATTTGAGCACTGTCAGACATTTAGCAACGCTAAATACTGGGCTGTGCGAAACAGCACCGTTCCACTTCAACTTCCATTTTGTCGTTTCAATGGAACAGTGTTTTGTTTGGAGTTTCATTTCATTTCAAAGTACTCTTGCATTTTCATTTCATCAAAACTTTTTCGCTGTTTAGATGATGTTTTGACGTTTCACCCATAGGCACCAATCTTCTCAGTGCTGGGTATGGGCTGTGCCCAGCGCCGGTCCCAGGCAGCACGAGCAGTCTTGTGTGATCCGGCAGGCAGATTGGGGGCCCGCACCCCTGGGAGGGTTGTGGGGCTCTGCCAGATTCCTCCCTGGAGTGCGGGGGGCCCCTGATCTGCCTGCCAGATCACAAGAGACTGCTGCTGCCACCTGAGACCGGTGCTGGGCACAGCCCTCAACCAGCACCAGGAAGATTGGTGTTGCTGCTGGCACCAGCCGGCAGCAACAACATGCTGTCATCTGGCATGCAGATCCAGGGGCTGCATCCCCTTGGGAGGGGTGGGGGCTGTGCCAGAATCCTCCCGGGGGCTGCAGCCCTCCGGCTGTGCATGGAATGACAGGAGGCTGCTACCACCAGCTGGGACCAGTGCTGAAGCCAAGCCTGGCTTTGAAACTTGAAACGTTTTGAAACTTTCGAAATGTTTTGAGTGCCCTTGTTTCATTTCAAAGCTGTTTCGAAGGCTTTTGTTTCATTTTGATTTCACTGTTTTGAGCTCAAAATGCATCGAAACAGCTTCGAAACGAAAATTTCGCACAGCCCGAATACATTCCAGTGTTTGCTCAGGAGAATTGCTTCAAGTCTTTGCTAATTGTGGCTACTCTGCCTGTGTCAAGCATTCTGAAAATTAGGTTAATACATATATCTTAATCCAGTAACAATTTATTGTAAATGATAATATAGACATTCTCATATTTTGTCATTACTTTCTGAAATGTGATGAAATTCTTATCGTAACTGAGGTTGGAGCATTTGTTAAAGAGAAAATCATTGCCCTTATACATAGCCTGAGTAAAAGACTGTACTGAAAAACTATGCAGGGAATAAGAGGAATCCTGTGCCCAGTTTTCCGAATACTAAAACACTTGCAGCAGGCCTCGCTACTGATGCGCTTCTGTTTCATGGGTGAAAAACTAACTGAGAACTACATAAGATTAGGTCCATATGCTCTATATTAACATTTTCCTAGGCCGCCACCAAACTCTGTGATGATGGGGAGAAATGACTGTGATTGACCGAAGCTTCAGAGAGATGCTGCACAAACCTCCTATGCAGCATCACAGGACAGATTCCAGGTATTTAGGACCCTTCATTAGTTTGGGTCCTAAGTGACTACAGCTACTACATGCATATTTTATTTTATAGAAAAAAATATTTGAAAATTTTAGGAAAAATATATAAACACCCTTTTAAAAAGAGTTGGTGCTTGACAGTGTAATCATTCCCTTTTAGGGTAGGGAGCCCAATCCTTAGCATTGGACTAGTGTATGGCAACTAGGAAGTTTAACTATTTGCAAACATAGCCTACTTTTAGTTTTCAATCTCCAAGCTGAGCAAAGTGAAATAAATTAATACATAGCATTAAATAACATTGTAGATAGATTATTATTATTATCCTCACCCTACCCCCTTGTGACATTTTACATGTATATAGCACTCCTGCTGGTTTTCTGATACAATCACAGAAGTTGAGGGAGTGCACATTTTTAACAAAGATGCCATTCTCTCAGTCACTCATGTTCATAAGATTAGACTTAGTTTATTCAGGGTAGACTTAATTCTCTCTCTGGAATGATGCATATGATAAGATGCAAAAGTTGGAAAGCTTGCTCATTTCTCTGTTACTTTGTAACCCTTTGAGGCGTGGACTGCCTATTTCACGTATGTGCTACAACTAGAACCCTTCTGTCCCTGATCAAGAGCTATAGGGACCACAGATAATGACAACAGGGGATTGCTTGATCAACAGTGTCAAAAGTAGCAAAAAGGTCAAGAATTTGTTTACATATATAAACTTTGGGCGTGTGAAGGCCCTGGGGATGGGTTCAGGAAAAGATTGTTAGAAACCTTTGTGTGGAGAGAGCGGAAGATGAATTGGAAGGAATCCAAGAAGGAGCTAGAGGAGAGGAACTCAAGGAAAAGGTTGTACATGATGTATTTATTAGTTTAAGGAAGGGGAATAGAAATGTAGAATGCATTTGGAGACTTAGGTTAGGCAGTAGTAGTTTTTGGGTTGATAGCTCTTATTTTGAGAAGAATTATTCAGAAGAGAGTAGAAGGCTGAGGAAGGAGCAGAGGGAGATAGACTAGCCCCGTGGGGAGGGCTCCTGTCCAAAAAACAGGTAGGAAGGCTAGATATAAAGAAGAAAAGAAACCCTCTTTACCTTGTCCCATATTACCAGAAGTAAAGTTATTTAAGAAATACAAGAAGTAAGGAGTTGCATTACGTGCTCTAATGTTTTTGCTCCTTAAAAACTCAGCAAGATATTTCACAGGGTGGGGAATGGGAAAGAAGGGATTTTAGGAAAGAATGAAAGATGCACATTTCTATACCATAACTATGACTGGAAAAATCAGTGAAACTGGGAATCAATAAAACTGGAGAAACAGTATAATTGTCCAGGAATATGGCAGAGAGGAATAAGAAATGAAGAAACTGATAGTGACAAAAGGCACAAATTGAGCATCAAAATCATGAAGCATTTTAATTAATTCAGAACTTCATTTTTCAGTAAATCAAACTTTCACCCAACATATTTCACTCTGCCCTAAAAAACAGGCATGATTAGAGTATAGGGAACAATAACAGAGGTAAAGATAGGAGGAAAACGCACGATCACAAACCAAAACGATTAACAGTAATACTCCTGACTGCTTTCAGGTTGTTCTGTTACATTGGACAAGTCTGAAGCCCTTTGTGCTTCTGTTTGTCTCTAGGGGGATGAAGTATTTACTTACCTCAAAAGAGGTGTTGAGAGTCTTGTCTAGTATTATAATATTTTGCCTTAGGAACTTGGGATGGAGTACTTCACAGAAGTGCAACATGTACTTTTTTTCAAGTAAAATTGTCATATTCATCTCTAGTGTAAGTCTGCTGATGTCAATTGGATTGCATCTACTCGCATGACACACGTATTTTGCCCACAGAGTTTGTTTAATTTGGTGTATCCTCTTCTTTATTTCTAGAAAGAAATATTGCAGAGGGATATTTGGATCACTAGGAAGCATCTTCAGAAAGCACTTGTCCACAGGGGCTTCAAATGCTGCCTTAACCATATTTTTTCACTTTTAAAATAGGGATCTTATAGCAACAAGTGAAATTTGAGATTTCTGCAAGCAACAGAACTGGTGTTTAATGCTATGACCATATCAACTTATTTTCTTTGTTTCTTTGTGCTTTTTAGTATAATTGTGGATTTAAATATCCAACTGGGTGCTTCCGTGATTTTTCCCAGTAATAATAAGTTTGTTGTCATAGCATATTCCCTAGCATGCGGTGTCCAGCATTACTGTAACTGATACAGGATTTTTTCTCATTGAGATTTTCTTTTCAGGACCTTTGCCTATGACAGAGTTATGAAACGATGCCATTGGTTGTCCTTCAATAGTTTGACAAATGGAGTGAGAAAGAAGCAAGACCATGCATTTGATCTGTATGAAAAGAAAGGTAACTGACTTATTCCCTAAAGGGCTGTGGAGGGGGAAGAAGGAAAGGCAGCTGGAGATAGCAAGCGGCCTTTATGACTGTGTGCCCTGCTTGAGGAAAAGGTAGTTTGTAAATTCCAGGACTTGATTTGTTGTATCTTAGAATTCATATTTATACACTATACTATACATTTATGTATATAGTTTATCTTTGCATAGCATTGGACTGTATTTTTAAGTATGCTATTTTTGTGATCTGTGGTATTTGCTTACTACAGGGATATCAAAAGTACAGCCTGTGGGACATAGGTGGGTTATCCATGACTCAACCTTCATTGGTGGGGGACTGTCCCACAGCTATAAGCAAATGCCCTGGTAAGAACTGGGGCACTGGAGCCCCAACAGCACCAGAAGAAGAAGCCCAGTACCATGGCTTGTTTCCGTGGTGGCAGCCAAGCACTTGAGTGAGAGTTGTGGTTCTGGAAGGAACCCAGCATCATAGCTTGTTCTTGTGGCAGTAGCCAAGTGACTGGGATGCTGGGCCTCTTCCCCAAATACAGCTGTGTGCAGCTGGTAATTCTGTTGTGGTGGAAAGGGAGGGGGGAGGGAAGGGGAGGGGAAGCCACATTAAGACCCCTCAGAGCTTTCACCAGCAGTGCTTGTATTGAATCCTGGGGATCAAATGCGAGGACCACCGAGTCAGCATGAGTATCCTCCATGAAGCTGCATCCACCAGCATCGAAGCCTTGCTATTGAGAAATCAACTCTGATGGATGGGCCACTGCATCCAGATGTCTGAGAACCACCTCCCTCACCAGATTCTCTTCTCTCAGCTCTCCTTTGGCCAATGCTCAAAGTGTGACCAAAGGAAACAGTACAAAGACACGCTCAAGCACAGGGGCTTTGACACCAATGGCTGGGAGGAGCAAGCTGCTGACCATTCAGCATGGTGTCACCTGGTCCACCAAGGTGCGTGCTACTTCAAGGCCCAACGACTTGATACTGAGTCAGAACAGCGGCAGTGGAGGAAGGAGAAGGAGACCAACCTGGGGCTATGAATCCCACTCCCCCACGCAACAGTGTGCCCCCATTGCCAAAGAATGTGTGCATCCAGACTTGGGATCCTCAGTCACCTGAGGACCCATCAAGCCTGACAGACGTCATTCTCAACTTCTAGGGACTGCCTCTGCCATCATGCTGTGCTGCGGCTGTGCACATGCCTGGGCCATTGGCAAAATTATTGGCCACGTCGGGCCAATTTCCGATATTGACAATTTTCTTTATATCGGTGCTGATCTGATATCAGACTGGTGTATCAGTGCACGTCTAGTTATTACCATTACACTTTGGGCTGCTCCTATTTGAGTCACTGCTGTGAGTCATGGTTGAGTGTTCTGCACTGGTCATTTTATAACTGAAACATTTAAATTACTTTTTTCAGTAACTTTTAGATTATGTTTATATTAAAATATTTTGATTTGTTGTGGCAAATTGAAGAATAACAGTGTAGGCAACAAAAATACTTTTAATTTGAAAAAAATATTTTTTGACACTCTAATGTTAAGTAAACAAACTTTGACTAAGAGTCTTAATTCTTGTCTGCTTTCTTTCAACAGACTATGTTAGAAATTGTATAATTGGAAAAGGGGCAAATTACAAGGGAACAATATCTATTACAAGAAGTGGCATCCAGTGTCAGATGTGGAATTCTATGATCCCCCATGAGCACAGGTAAGAATAATTTGAACCTAAGGAGATTTGGCTTTCTTGGAGCCATGTCCTGCTGATATTCTGTACTTTAAAATGAAAAATATGCAGTATAAAAGTGGATAGATCCAACTTTTCTCTTATACTGGCAGTTTAGTTTCTTTTAAGAGCAATGACAGTGGTAACCAGTCAGAAGAGGTACACCTTATAGACTAACTGAATCAGAGTTGCAAAAGCTTTTATGAGCCCCAGCCCACTTCATAAAATGCAATGAAAGGACATGCAGAGAACAGACTGTAAAACAGAAATATTTATTTAAGTGCAATAACAGGGAAAGCAGGGAAGAGAAGGGAGTGGCCAGTGCTGAGAGAGGCAGATGGGGCTGGAGAGAACAATAAGGCACTAAACCCGTAAGGACAAAAAATTGAACATGAATCCATGATGGTAACTAGTAACTATGTATCCTTTATAAAGCATACAATTATTTATTTATGTAGACAAAATTGTTAAAACAATCAAGTTGTATGTACGAAAACCTACCTCTCTCTAAAGCTTACTGTTCCAAGGATTTGGGGAAGACCTAACCTTTTCATATTTCCATGAAAGAGCTCTTTTTCTTAAACAAAACAAAAAAAAAATGTACCTCTCTCCATGAAGGCTGTAGATGAAATGATCCGTGAAATATCCATTCTAGATGTTAGCAAACTTAGTGTTAAAGATGCAAAAGCCAGATTCCTTTCATTTACACCTTGGACAGATCATTAATGACCTCCAACCTCTTCTGGAAGAAGATGACCATTTCAAGGTAGCCATGTGGAACAAACCTGTCTTCATTTACAGACAGCCTAGCAGCCTCAAATGGCATCTCTTAACAGCAACATACCTAACTCCTATTTTGACTGCAGCGCCAGGCCTTCCAGCTGTCCCCCACATTGATACAGACCACATCATCACTGGACCAAATAATATGGATTATAACATCTGAGGTTTCCCCATTGTTCGACCAACATCATATATGCCATCACCTGCTTATAGAGCCCTTCTGCAGTCTATGTTAGACAGGTGGGGCAGTCCCTACATGAAAAATGAAGGGAAGCCAATTTGACATCAATTTCAGAAGACAAACAAGCCTGTGGAAGAATACTTTAATCTTCCTGGATGTTCTGTTGCTGACCTCAGAATAGCTGTTCTTAAAAGTAGAAATTAAAGATGACTTGAATATGAAATTGTGGAACAAGAAATAACCTCCAGAGGGTGTGTCTACAAGTGCATTTACACCGGCTTAAATTTACGGTGCAGTAAGTTACTGCACAGTAAATGGGAATAGGCTGGAGTCTAGATATGCAGGCGTTAAAACGCATTAGCACTGTGTGTGGACTGACTTGGGACTAAGTTAGTCCCAAGTCCATCCACATGCAGTATTACTATGCAGTAAGGTGTCTACATGTGTGTTACTGCACAATAACTAATGAGGCATAAATTTGATACCTGCATGATGCAAATTTATGCTTAAGTCAGTGTAAGTCACCATATTTACTGCACACTATGGGCGTGCATATGTAGACGTGCACCCGTACTGCGCAGTAATTTAGGTTACAGCACAGGTAATGTGCACGTGTAGACATGCCCAGAATATATGTGTTATCCCTTTACCTAGATTAACTTTTTTGAGCCTTATGTCCTTATGGGTTTTTTACTTCTTTGCTTGTCTCTGCACTCACCTCTCTCCCCTCCTTTCTTTCCTTCCCTGTCTCTTTATTCAAATCATTCTGTCTGTTTGCTAGCCTGTTCTGCATAGGTCTTTTCACAGCATCTGATAAAGTGAGCTATTGTTCACAAAAGTGTATGCATGTCTGATTCAGTTAGTCTATAAGGTGCATCTCTACTTTGCATTTTGACTCATGCCAGTGTTACTCTAGATTTATAGTGGGTAGCAAGTGAGAGCATAATTTGACCCTTAACAATGATGTGTGGTGTAAAATTCCTCACAGCCATCTTTTTTCTCAGAGAAATGGGTCATTTAAAAATTCAGGGTGGGAGTTTGTAGGGTGTTGGTTTTGGGTCCACATTAAGCCTGGGATAGCTGGTACTTAGAAATGAGTGAGCACGTAAATGAATGGCTTCCCTCAAGGACCTGTAGGCACAGTACAGCAATGACTACACAGTAAGTGCGAGAGCTCTAGCCGTTATTTCTTGAGCCTAGGGCCAGATCCTGAAATCAACTGAGTCCACTCAGCTCTTATTGCAGCGGTGACTGGAAGACTTAGCACCTTTCAAAATCATTCTCTGATTCTTTTAGGAATGTTTTAAGACTTCTTTCTAGGAGTCAAGGACAAAATTCCCATCAACATCAGTGGAAGCAGGATCAGGCACTTCTGCCTTTGAATTGGAGATCTGTATTTGGACAGCTATGCATCAAAGATGCATAATATGAAGCTAACTTGTTTCCTCTTGCCTTGTGTGACATCTTTAATTTTTGAAAGGTTACTTAGTAAATGAGATGGTTGTGTAGTAGTTTTTGTTTCTCAGCATCACAACATGCAACTTCATCACGAGAGGTTTGAGTGAGATGGGAAGAAACAAGCAGTGGTGCGTGTGGAACCTATTAACAGTTCAAGGAAGGGAACAGTTCAGTTTTTAGCTTGGTCTTGTCACAATGTCTGGTTATCACAAAGTAGCATTTTGCAAAGAAAATCCTTCTCCCATAGTTACAGAAAGGAATGTGCACGGCTGATTTTATGAGTTGTCCTCAAAACTATTACCAACTCTGGAAAGATGTTTTGACGGGGGCGATGCATAAGGTGTGCATGCAGATGCACGTGCACCCCCTGAGCGTGGTGGTGCACCCCTCACAAAAAGGCGCTGCTGACACTGTCAGCGGTGCCTGCGGGCAGTTGCTGCTTGCCACTCCACCCCCGCCTGCTACTGACACCACTGGCGGCATCTGCAGGCAGTCAGCAATCCCTGCTGGTTGCTGATGATGCTGCTGGCAGCATCTGCGGGTGGTTGCGGATCCCTGGTCGGCGCTCGCCACACTGCCCCCACTCCGCTGCCAACAGCGCCAACGGAGTCCGCAGGAGCTCCTTGCTTACCACCACTGCTCTCCCGCCTCCACGCTCCCACCTCACCGTGCCCCCCCACCCCAGCCGCAGGCATCATATTGCTACTGTTGAGGAGTAGTATTATTATTCCGATAATGCCTAAAGACCTTAAGCAAAATTAGGACTCTGTTGTTATAAGCCTTTAACTAACATAAAATAAGAGACGCTCTCTGCTCAGAACAGCTTATAAATTGAAAGCAGTCATAAAAGCAGTCACCAGAGTTTCAAAGAAAGATAATATAGGAGAAAAGTGAATATGGTGATGCTTTTCAAATTTCTTGTTCGTTCCATCATGATTTAAATAGAAACTGATGCTGCTTCTGCAGTTACTCTTACTGTTTTGAGTTTCTGGAATAAATCCTGCAACTTTTTCATTTACTGAACTCACAGGCCAGGTAGAGACATTACACTTTTACAGGTATAAGTGATTGGAAATCAGTTTATATCCACAACAGAAATTCAGCACACAGACTGATTAAAAATGGTGGAATCTGGTCTAATATTTCCACACCTGCCACACCAAATGGTGAATGTGTTCACTACCAATCTAAATTATACTGCTTACAGAAAACTGCGTAACTTAGACTGATTCTGCCTCGGGCTATTTAAATGTTTGTTCCTACCCACAATGCTTAGGGAGGCAAGGTGCTGAGTGTGTTCCATACACCCAGAAAGTGGGTGTGTTTTGCACTGTTCTGGCCCTGGTTGGATATTTTCTTTTTCTTGTATGATGCTATAGTACTTGCTGAAACTGCTAGTGCATCTGCTCCTGCCAGCTTGAGCCTTTGTGTAATGCTATGCAGTAAGAAGGATTTCTGAAATATTTTTATCCTCACAACATATCTAGGATAATTTGAACTGACTTTTGTCAGGATTTAAAAAAAATGTTTATCATTTCAGAGAGACCCTGGTGGTAAAAAACAAAAAACAAAAACAAAATAAGGAACTCTAACATGCACTGACACAACACATTAACACTGACAAAAGATGTAATTCCCTATCAGAAGAGCTTGCCTAGGGCAGTTTTAGGTAAGATGTTTTCAGACAGTAATATGATGAGACCTCAGAGGAGAAAAAGGAGAAAAATGCAATGGGCAGCAGTAAAAACAGGAACATTATTCTCTCCAAGGAAAGAAAGCCTTTTTCAAAGAATGCCACCACCTTGTATTGATTGTAGCCAGAACGTGATTAACAGGGATATTTTCTATCTCATTCAGTTCCAAGATTTAATTAACTAAAGTAAAAAATGACACCATGGGTAGTTGTGGGGGCTAGGGATTTTGTCTTTGTAAGGTTTTTTAAATACTTGCTATTCACTTCTAACTTGCAGTTAGCCAAATGGAGCAGCAGCTGTAAATTGGTCTTGTGATTTTGTATATGAAATGGATTAGTTTAGGTACAGGTGCACCTAATAGTTAATTTCTTTTAAAGAGTAAAATACAAGTGTATAGCCTCTTTTTAAAATTGACTCCAATTAATTAATCAATACATGCTATAAACTGTTTTGCTTTGGGAAAGAACTTAAAACACTGAAAAAAAATAATAAAAAACACATTTTCAAAACAAAACATTTTGATTTTTATTTAAAAGAACATTTAATTTAGACACTTCAGTTTTATAATATAAAATATGAAGATTAAAGGAGCTTGTGAAAGAAATTTTCATTTCAAGTGAAACATGTTTTGTTCAACCCCAAATAAAATTTTCTTTTAAAGTTTCCATTTTTTCAAAAAATTAGAATTTTCAGTTTGAGTCAACTCTTCATTTTGTTTCTTGTGTTTCTTTCTGAAACTGTAATCATTCAGAGAAGATCACTGAGTCTCTGTTGGGATTTGCCTTGGCAATAGCCATTTGTGCTCTTTGCACCTACTTCCATGTAACTATTTGCAATGGAGAATTTGTTCCGCTCTTTCCACCGAAGAGGGGGAAGGACCAATGGTACAAATAGCATCTGTCCTGACTACATTGGGAATTTCACTAGTCAAACTACAGCACTGGCTGCAATTTAGACAAATCCTTAGTCTAGACAGGGTCTAAGCCAAAGACTTAACTCCAGAGCATTCATCGTCAAACACAGGTAAACTGATATTTTTTATCGTGAAAGCAGTTCTGCCTTGCAATGGGACTGATCCCAATCCCACTGAGATAAACTAGAGTCTTTCCATTGGTTGCAGTGATCTTTAAATGAAATCTTATGCCTTCATTTCCTTCTTCATATCCGCTCACTCTCAGGGTGTGTAAAATGCTATAGTAATTTGTAAATTAAACAAAAGTGAGTCAATGCGGTACTGTGAAAATTCTCAGGCCGAAAGCCGTAGAGATGGAGATCTGGTTATTCACAGAGCAAGAAACTTGCATGGTCTGTCAGCTTCCTTATGCTGCCTATTGTGCTACAACTTTGCTGGGGACACGTAAGTGCCATTTAGTCACCAAGGACTGTCTCATCCTCTATGTCATTCTGCCAGGAAAGACAACAGTTAGTACCAAATACGGGTTGTTCTTGTGATATGGATGCACATTCATTAACTAAAACATGATACATAAACATGAAGAGAGTACCAGTTCCTTTACTAAAGCCCATTCCAATGAAAATCTTTTATTTAACTTCTGTGGGCTTTGAGTCACACCCACAATGTGTATATTAAGAGAAGGCATACTTTTACATTTGTCTTTCATAAGAACACAGCTTCTAGGAGTCAAGTTCTTGAAAACTGGTTCTTCAGAGAAAATATACTGCAGATATAATTGTTATCTGTATGGAAGTGGAAATCAGACTTGTGTATGATCAGTCGGCATTATGGTATTGACTTGAATGGAGTGAGGATTTGCCCCCAGGTGATTCACTAGTGCCACTTTGTACAGTAGGGGGAACTGGATTATCCTTAGAAATTCTACCAAGTAGGCCCAGTCAGATATCTGCCAAACTCCTGTCTAGCTGTGGCCAATATCCAGTGCTTCAGAGGAGACAGGGACAGGGAGAGAGGGAAAAGTCCTCCTTGATCCTACAGGTCACAAATAGTATGCTTATAAATGAGATTATCAGATACATAGAGACAGAGTTACCTTTCAACCCCAATATATGGCCTGCAAATATGTGAATTCACATGACGTGCTGATTATTGACTTGGGAACACTTCTTCCATAAACTTGTTAAACTCCATCTTCAAGCACTTAAAATGTTTTGCTTTGTTTGGTAGGCCATTTCAAAACTTTGCTTCCCTGATCATTAGAAACTTCTGATTTCCAGTCTAAATTTGTTTATGACCAGTATGTAGTCATTTGGTTTTGTGTTTACCTCTACTTCTCTGATATTAACACAGCGAATATATGGTTAAAGAACAATTATATCCTCTTTCAATCTTGTGCTAAAATAAATTTGACCACAATTTTCACAAGTCTGAGAGCTCAAATCTTATAGCAGAAGGTCTTTTTATTACTTCCTAAATTGTGGTTCAATAGTAGAATCCTTGTTTCTCATGCAGGAGACCTGGGTTCAGTTCCTGATTATTCACGTAACTACAGGCATTGAGGCACTGAATGTCTGGACTTAGTGTATCCTTTGGATACTGTCTCAGTGGTCTAAAGAGGGGTTGGAAGATCTGAGCAGCTTCCACTCCTCCATACTCCTGCCTAGGTGTATGCATTGCAGGTCCTGGTGACCTCTCACAGAAGGATTTATGGTTGTCTACTACATGTATGACTTTGCACTTCATACCATTTCTACTGAGCCACTCTACAAAGTGATTTAATTCTTCCTCTATAATAATTCAGTCCTCCTCTGCATTGGCAAAACCCCCAGCTTAGTGTCACCCACAAATTTCCTAAGCACTAGTCTAGTACCAGGGTCACTAAAGAAATGTTAAATGGGAGGCCTCAAGACCAATCCGTGAAGAATATTAATAGTAATTGATCTACTGTCTAATAACTCATCTTTTAACATAACTTGGTATAGTCTCCCCTGTAGCCAGGTCCTTAGGCTCCTTTTAGTTATAGTGTTGATTTTCATTTTTATAATTTTCAGAGAAGCACAGAGTCAAATGCTTTGCTTCAATCTAGACTGATCAGGTATGCTGCATTGCCTTTGTCTAAAACAGTCATTTTTCCTGTTAGAGGAGGACATTATATTGGTTTGACACATTCTTCCTTGGATAAAAACCTATTGCATTTTCTTCCTTTTTTGTTTACTTCCATATCCTTGATTGTTCTTTCCTGCAATATCTATTCTAAGGCTTTGCATAAAACTGAAGTCAAGCTGTTGGGCCTGTCATTCTCCGCCCCCCCCCCCTTTTTTTAAATAGCAGCGCTATTTTTACTATTCCGCAGTCATACAGTACTATCTCTGTTCAGTGAAGATCTATGCTATAGAATGGTTCTGAATCCATTTTAAAGATTTTGCTAAATTTGGCTATTAGAAATATTATTTCAAAGTGAGGCAAAGAACAAGATAGTAAATTTCCAGGTTGGTATTTCTAGTAAACATCACACAGTGATGGAACATTAACATTTATAACTAAAGGGGATGGAAATGCATTCCACAGTGCTATGGCCTATGATGTTCTCATAAGTTACATCAAATGCAGGGGGAAAATAAAGATAACTGCCTTTATATATGCATTCCCATAGTTATGTATATATTTCTACAGAAAGGCCACAGAAGAAGGCAGTGCCTTCGGCCTAGAAAGTTTATTGTCTGGCACAGTGGTTTTCAAATTGTGCTTTTCAAATTGTGCTTCAAATGGCGCCATCATCATTAGATGATGGCGCCATGTTATGGCAGGGGAAAATAAATCAAGGTATACCTCTTCTGAATCCAGAAAGAGAAGGAGAAAGAAAGACGTTGCAATCCACTTGGACTGAGAAAGGGGATGGGTTCTTCTACCTCTTTGCATGTTCCTCAAGAGAAACTTATTCCTCAAGGGGTGCATCAACATGTTGCCATATGGCGATGTTGTTACTGCACCATGCTTTAGGTGGTTACTGTGCCATGCACATGACGCATGGTTAGATTCCATAGCTATGTCACCGTAGTGAGGAGCAGCCACTATGGTGATGTAGCTGCTGATCATGTGATTGCTACGTTGCCATAGCACGCTGTTCGGTGAAGTAGCACGTCGCTACATTGCTGTAGGGGACTTGTAGATGTGCCAAAGATGTCCTATTGGAATAAATTTGTATTTTTACATACTGAATAAAATAACCGAATTTTAGTGGAGTAGATGGCTGTTCATAGATCTAATTTTTGTAATAATCTTATTGATTTTATTCTGTGTTTGTGCAACATATTTAAATGAAGCAGTCCTTAAAGTGAAATCACTTGGACTAGTTGCAGATGTCAGGTATTATGGGAATGAATAAAAATGGCCAATCTGGGCTTTTTCATATATTAAAGTGAAGATCATTATATAGTTTGCGGGGGGTGTATGTGTGTGTGTGTGTGTGTGTGTGTGTGTCTGTGTGGAGACGGAAGCAATATTTCATAATCTGTAACTGCTTGTGAATATAATAAGATTCACAACGAAGCATGCATGCTCTTATACTGTAATGATTGTCATTTTAAAACTAGCTTTTTGCCTTCGAGCTATCGGGGTAAGGACCTGTGGGAAAACTACTGTCGGAATCCCCGAGGGGAAGAAGGAGGACCTTGGTGTTTTACGACCAATCCAGAGATTCGCCATGAAGTCTGTGACATTCCTCTCTGTTCAGAAGGTAAAATGGTATCATTTGTCTCTCCTGTTTTGGAAGCAAGTGCATAACATCACATGGGCTTTGAAATTACAACAGATTATTTCTCAGCAAGAATAATTTATTTGACAAAAGAAATTTGAGTAATGCAGTTGTGCTTATCACACAAGTTAGATCACTCTCACACCTATTCAGTGTACTACTTCATAGCAAACAACTGTTGTAGTTTGGAAGACCAATGCTGAGAATGCACTGTTGTTTCACTTTTCAAATAATAATAATAATTTGTATTTAGATTTTTAAAGCATCAAATCTCATGGCATTGGTACATCATAAAATTTGAGCAATGATGTACAATTCTAAGCGTTGTGTTTAGCAGTATGTTCATGTGGCGGGCCAGTAGGGGGTGCTCCTGCGTTGAGCCGCCCACCTCCCTGCGCCCGACCACCTTCCAGGCTCCGAGTGCCTCCCTCAGGGTGCCTCCCGTCCGGCCAACCCCTTCCCTGGAGCACACCCGCTAGCCTGGGGTTCCCGCTGCCACCATCCAAGGCTCTGGACTCACTTCTGGCTCTGCGCACCTTGGAAAACACAGGCCTGATCGTCCAATGGGTGCTAGACCCAATACAAGCACTTGGGGCACTTTCCCAAGTCAGGGGCTTATTAGGAAGCCTCCCTTAGTCCACCGACCTAAGGGGCCTCCTTGGCATAATTTAGACCCACCCCTCAATAAGTCTCCACACCGGTCACAAAGGAGAACTTTATTGATTACAGGGGTAGGGCAGAAACAGGGTAAAAGGTAGAGCAATATCAAGAAATATTACAGGAATATCAAAGGAATCCCATAGAGCAAACTAGAGTGGCTGAGGTAGCTGTTTAAACACGCATCTGAATTACTGAAGCTAAATATCTGATCGGATCTCTAGTAGGTTACTCACTCGCATCATCCAGAGGTGGTTGCTGTTTCCTCTGGAGGCAGGGCACTCTTGGAGCATGCGGTGATGAGGAGAGAGCCAGGATCAGATTCACCTGGATGACCGCATGGCTAATGCCCCTTCTTCCTGGCCCAGGCCTTTTTATAACCTCTCTGACCTCAGCAGCCCGGTCCAACCGAAGCTGCCAATACTGGCTACGAACCGACCAATCTGCATGGCATCCTTGGCTACCTGGGCCCGCGCGCAGGGCCGGGTCTTTCCCCCCACCCCCTGCCCAGGTGACCAGAGCATCACCTCCCAGGCGCCAGGCTTTTGTCTGCAGACAAGGAGCGAGATCCCCGCTGTGAGGGATTCAACACCCGCCTCCCAAGCTGGTGGAGACAGATCTCAGGAGAGGGGCACCGACAGTGGCATTTCTGCCACAGGTACATCATAAAATTTGAGCAATGATGTACAATTCTAAGCGTTGTGTTTAGCAGTATGTTAAATGTACTGTCCTGTTGCTCTCAGAACCAAGCCCTATGTCCTTCATTCCCTTAGTTGCCAGCAAGAAAAGTAGCATTTAGTTTGGTTGTCTAACAAATCTAATCCCTGGTGGTCCAAGAAATAATACTTAAGCTCTACTTCATCAGAGAACCTCATCCAATGTGATGCCTTGGGCTCAGTGCAGAATCAAGGCCTTAAATGACTTAAGATAGATTCAGTTCTCTGCTTGCTTATATTATGATTATTATTATCAATGTGAACTTTAATTACATGCTATTTTTTAGTTTCTTTAGGCATACATGTATTTATGTTTTGTATGCTAATAGTGCCTTTCATCCCAAATTGCTTTACAATTTTTTTATTTCTAATGATCTTTTCATGCCCCCTCTCCCAATCCTCAGTTAAATGTAGCAGCCATTGGAATAAAAGTTCATATCAGTTCTGTAAAATAGTTTAGATCAGGAAGGAAAGAGTTTCACATCCAGCTGAAACAATAATGGGAATTTGAATGGGTAGAATATAGTTACTTAAATTACAATTTGACTAGCATCCTGGGGCTGACACCCATACTTTTGAGAAGAGCATTAAAGGATCCTTTATGAATAAAAGGGGTCAAGAATTATGACTTTTCTTTCACTTTTCAGCTAAAAGATGTCACCTTCAAGAAAAAAAACCTTTTCTCTAATGGCCCTTGCAAGGGTCATATATTTTATTTTATTGATACATGGAGGAGTGTCACTTACCTATTTGGCAATAACTCCTCTTGTCTGCTGTGCAACCCATCAGAGTTTAGAACCAGAAATCAAACTAATCTCTTTTACAGAGTGGGGGAAAAAGGAGCTTTGGTATCTAAATAGCCTGAGCACTTCACACTTAGATGCATCAAAAGTTATATGACCTTGAACTACATTGGAACCAAATTTAAAGATAATCTAAATCTAATTCAGATGTAAACATCTGGATTAGATTTAACAAAGTGCCCGCAATGAGATATATTCAAAGGAACATTCCTCCCACCAATGTGAAAGCCATGATCTAGGAGGTAATATTTTTATAACTCTTCATATTGGGTATCTTGAATTTATGACAGCCATAGTATATTGAGATTTTTTACTAGTATAAGACGATTGCAAATGTTGTTGTTATTTTTTGTTTCTAGTTGAATGCATGACTTGCAATGGAGAAAGCTATAGAGGCCCAATGGATCACACAGAATCTGGCAAAGAGTGCCAGCGCTGGGATCTCCAGAGGCCACACAGACACAAATTCCGTCCAGAAAGGTAATAAATAAATAAATATGTAATTAAATCCTCATCATTTTTATAAAATGATGGTACTCTCTGAGCCCAATGCTGTATTAAGTCAGGAATAGTTTATTGAAATAATAGAGTTTAGGCCGATCTTTGTTTGTGTGTGTGTGTGTATGAATACATACAGATATAGGAAAGTTTGCCTTGAAATGCCTAAAATAATTTATAATAACAAAAAAGGACTATAATTCTTGTTATAGCCCCTTCCATCCAATGGTTTCAAAGCTGCTTGCAGATATTAAACATGTTTGATTTCCAACATTAATGATTTACAATATATCAATTTACTAGAGTATCAAACCGCCACTGATATTTTTTTCTCTGTAGCTAGACAGTCTGTAGTAATCAAACTTAAATATCCAGTTTACATTCCCCAAGATGTTAAAAAAAAACCCCAACCACATTTTTACACCCTGGAAAAGCAGTTGTACATAGTTAAGTTTAACATTTTAAGATCATAGATTTATATTCTGGACAATCACTTGTTTAGGTATAGAAATATAATGCCAAAAATGAGTCAGAGATACCATTTATAAAACTACAAACCACTAAGCATTCATTCTAATGGTGAAATTCACCTAAGTCGATGATGAATTACAATCCCCCAGGAGGGTCTTTGTGTATGCATTTAGGCCACACAGAAAGGCCTCTTTCTCCCTACTGCCCTGGAGCATAGGTCTCTGCACTAGTTCATATAGGAACCAGGATGCTTTGAAAATGTTGACTTTTTAAAATTCTGTCTGTCAGATTAGCTCCATTTATAAAATGAAGTTAAAAATGCTAACATAGCTTCTGGGAAGGTTGTTGGAATTAATTAATATCTGAAAGAGATTTTCCATTCAATGTGGCTGTTAAACTTTCAAGTGCTGGTAATGAAATAAAGTCTAATGATTATCTCCTGAAAATACATAATTGGTAGATTTTAACAAGTTTTGCTGCTTCTGCTGAAGGATCTGTTGGCGAGATGGGGGGGACCCCTCCATTCTCTGACTGGTTGCTGGGGGTGGGGCACGTGCTTCTCTGATTAAGGTAGCATCAGTCACCCATGCTGCTCTTCCATCTCCATGCACTGCGAAGCCCCTGTGCTGAAGCACCCTGTGCCCCAACCAGCCACTCCCCAGCTGGCTGGGACACAGTGTGCCTCAAGACGGAGTAGCAGGCACCCCTGGGCTGGGGTCTGCGTGAGGGCTCTGCCACAGAGTCCCTGTGTTGAATCCCATGGAGCCCCTGTCTTGAGGCACACTGTGCCCCAGCCAGCCAGGCAGGTTTGTCCTGGCACCCAGCACTTCATTGTGCTTTGTGCCGTGTCTTTTTTCCAGGGTGGTTTTTTTTTTGCTATCAGGAAATCCTGGTAGCAAATTTTGCCCATGGTTTAATGTGCAACACATGTGATTTCTGGTGCTGCAAAGAGGTATGCAGCACTACAAACCACATGTGTCTGCACGTCTGGGTCCAGCTGATGGGTTTATGTAAAGCCTTTTTTGCCTTTAGTTAAGGTGAACTGCAGAGGGTTCACTTATGCTTCCACTACAATGGTCCCATAATTAAAATAGATGCCTGGGAATGGAGAGTTTCATGTCCTTTTGTAGGCTTTGTCACAGACTTCCCACATAGCCTTTGATAAATTGGTAAATATTTCCATATTTCCTCATCTATAAAACAGGGATCCACTATTGAATTTCATAATTCACTTCAGTGAATGCAACAATCATGTTTATCCTTAAAGAATTTCTCTTGCATGAAATACGCTGATGGAATTCCAGAGTAAGAAAATAAAATCTTTATTGTCATCAGCAAGAAGTCTCTTACTTGATTGTGTATTAGATGATATATGTGAATGAATGTTGTGATTTGTTGCACAATCTCCAGTAGTTCCTCTTCAGAAATGGCATCTCAAAGTTTGTTACACTTTTCAAGATAAGGGCTAAATATTGACAGTCAAAACACCCGAGGCTGAATCAGTTCAATCTTCACAAGTTAGTTTAAGCTGTATAGATTGAACTCATAAGCAAGTGGACAGACATTCACTTCTGATCCCACAGATACAGCTACATGCCTGCAGTGGCCCAGGCCAGACGCAGGGGGGCGCTAGAACACACCTTCTTGCTCTGCTGGAACAGACAGCTTGGGCCAAGGCTGACCCACTCACCCTGTAAGCAGGGGCTTGTGATGGAGGTGCAAAGCCTCCTGGGATGCTGGGAGACTAGAAGTTAACTTGAATCTGGATCCCTGGGATTTGGAACAGAAGTTCATACTAGATCGATCCAGATTTATCTTAAACCAGTTTCGACCATTTTGAAAGCGGTTTATGTGTACTGAACATCTGTTGTGTTACAGATTTCAACTGGTTTCTGAGCACTTATACCACTTTATAATTTCTGTCCCTAGCCAAAATGTTTTAATATTAATAAAGCAATTACTGTGGATTATATAAAGCATTTGCTTTTAGAGGTTTAATTGCTGGGCTACACTAGTTGTTATAGTTTGATCTTAATTAACTACTTGAAATTTAGATTGTTTCAATTCTACTTTAATTATACTTGATTTTATAAAGAGTTTTTATGAGTGTCTAATTTGTAAATAGGACAGAAAGTCTGGACTGTGTAACCTATTAAAGTACAGCTATGTCTGGGGAGCTTTTCTACTCATACACTGTATTGCTTGGAACCCAGGAAGCCTTAAACAGTAAAGAACAGCTTGTACAGCCTTAAACTATAAAGAATTAGTGAGAAATAGGCTTGATAGCCTCCTCAAAGACTCCCAAATCTTAAGTCTTGCAGTGAAGTGAACTACAGGTCAAGGTGAATATATTTCACCATTATTTTTGGCACCTTAGAGACAATTATTGGCTTTTATGAGTCAATTGTACTATGATGATAACAGATATCCATTTAAATGCCCGAAGCAAGCAGTATAGAAAGAAGTCAGAGGCTTAAATCCTTCTCCATTGTAGCTTTGCCCTTGACTTCAGGGAAGTCACGATTGTATTTGTGGGCTCTCTTCCAGCATCATGCTCCTCTTTGGCAAACTGTTCCATCTCTATGAATCCCTTATTATTTTAATAGCATGTGGCATAGAGGTAGTAGCTTCCTTCCCAGTCTACATGGACCATAATACAGGGTTGGTGGTTATAGTTACATGGAGGAGAACAGAAGTGAGTAGTAGTCCTAGAGTTTCTTGTAAAACAAAAATGGCAGGGGCAGGGGAGGGAAGGAAGGGAATAGAAACAAAATCTTAGAGTTTTAAGAGATCTTTGAGCAGTCATGGGAACTGTATACTGCAGTTGTCACTGTGTCTTTGAGGCTGCCTTGGTTGCCATTCCCCATTTTTGCAGGGTTCAGTGACTGACCCCTTCTTTTATACTGTGTCTGTACCCCTGCTGTAGGAAAAGAAGAATGATATATCACAAGGAAGCCAATGCTGGACATGTCTACACATGCACAGTTACTGAGTAGTAATTTAGGTTACTGTGCAGTAGCTGAAAATTACTGCGCAGTACGGGCACATATCTACATGTGCATGTCCATACATCATAGTAACCATGGTGACTTACACTGACTTGGGTGTAAATTTGCTATCTGCATGATGTAGGTAGCAAATTTACACCCGAGTAGTTACTGCACCGTAAGGCACGTGTAGACACCTTACTGCACAGTAAACCTGTACGTGTGGACTGATTTGGGATTAACTTTAGTCCCAAATCAGTCCAGACAGTGTTACTGTGCTGTAATGCCTGCATTTGTAGACGCTGGCATAAAACCCACTTACCATGCAGTAAATTACTGCACAGTAAATGCACATGTAGACATGCCCACTGGATTCCAAATGTACAATTAGACCCTGGAATGTATATAGTAGATTAAGAACAAGAACCTCTATCAGCACACTTGAAAATGTTGTTTTTCTTGGCTTGTAAGAAACTCATCTACTTAAAAGCTACCAAAGGTCTCGGGTTCATAGGTAGTCACTATCTTTGTTATCCTGATTATGTTTTTATGTTTGCTCCATGGGAAAAACTAATTTTTGTTACTTTGCTGCAATGAAACTGCAAAAGCTAACAATTTGTGTTAATTGGTAAATAAATAAATTTTATTTTGCCCTCATAACTGGAAGTGTTTGGTTGCTTGTATGGCCTATTTAGACCAAATGAGCCTGTTTATTATGTGTCTGTTTAATAATGGCAGAAGGAACGTGGAAACTATTAAAATTTCATGACCAAACCTGGAAGAGATAAAGCGAGAGAGGGAGGTTATTTTTTTTTTTCTTGCAGTGCTGGAAATGAGGGTATGACCCAGAGCAATCTCTATTACAAAAATGAAACTATCATTAGTAACAAAGCAATTGAAAATAGCTTCCAGTTTGAACCCTGGGCTGTTGCACTAGAGAACCTGTTTTTGTAATGAGCCTGGCATGCCAGGCAGTGTTTATATAATCCACACTTAATTGGACTGTTTGAAAAAAAAAACCCAGGCTTTAGAGTCTGGCCGTCAGTTGACAGACACAAGAGTAGAGTTAAGCAATTAGCAGAGTTACCCCATCTGGTGTCCTGCACGTTGACACAGCTGGGTATCCCCCCTTCAATGTCTTGATTCTGTTGGGTGTTTTCAAGATTTCATTCTTATTTCTATTTATGGCAATGAAGAGTAGTTGCCAACTTCCCAGGATCAGGCCCCAGGCTAATAGGAGTTGTACCAAAGATCTCAGCTGGAGATCTATCTTTGTATAGCTTGTACTTCCTTGTATAATGTTGCCAGGCAGATTTGTTTGACACGTTTGTCGGTGTGGTTTGCAGATATCCTGACAAGGGCTTTGATGATAATTACTGCCGCAATCCTGATGGCAAGCTGAGACCGTGGTGCTACACTCTTGACCCTAACACCCCCTGGGAGTTTTGTGCAATTAAAACGTGTGGTGAGTTAAAACAAAATTTATTGCTTCCTTTTCCTATCCCCTATCTAGACACATATAATCTAAGTGATATGGGAATATAAATGATTGCGTCCATTCATTATACTTGGTGAATTTTTAAATATAGTATCAAAAAAAGAGTTTTTACAACCTGGTTATAGGTAGCCTGCATAAGACACAAATAGAAGCACATTACTAAGCACATATTTACGTAAAATATACTAGTATGTGTCTGTCTTATATACAAGAGACTGCATTAAAAGAACAGTAAGATTGCAAAATCAAGCACTAGAACTAAGATTGCCTGTGCAACCGTAATTTGGTTACCAAGCAATAATTACATGATTGAATAACATTTTTACATGGGACTCTTGCCTTATTCAGTGCACAGGATGCTTCTTACCCACCTAAGGAACAGCTATTCAGTGTTGTTTCATCCTCATTGTTCTATGTGTGGTCTCACGCTTTGTTTTACTACACAATCAAATTCTGCTCTGAAGATAGAGTTAATAATTTTGTCTAGGGTTTTTCTGTTGGTGTGGCTCATGAAAGTAGCTGTTTCACAAACATTAACTTACATAATTTCACAATGTCCATGTAAACTAGAGAGATGGCATCTTCCCTATTCTATAGAAGGGAACTAAGCTACAAAGAGATTAAGCTCAACACTATCCATTAATTTCAGGTGCCAGTTTGAGATGATGTTTAACTGAGTATTCACTGTACTTTATATGTTCAAAAAACATCTTCCATTGACTTCAGTTTTGGCTGTAAATGTTCAGCACTTGTGCTCTTGTGTGTCACCAGTTAGGCACCCAGAAGAAAACAGATACTTAATTAGAGGCTATATTTGCAAAGCTTGATTTAAGTGGTATGCCTAGAATTCCATGGGAACTCTGTGGCAGAGAAAGGTATAGCATCAAGGTTTTCAGGATGGAAACTGTCTTAATGAGAAGAATAACTTTTCTCTTCCTAATCTCCTCCGCCTTGTTCACATCTTGCAGTTTTAGCAACAAATAAAGTAGAGTGGTTACAGAAAATACTTTCTTTCGCTATATGATCCTGATTCATTCCCAGAACATGCATACTTAATGAAGTAGGGCCCTATGAAATAAGTACTTTGCAGTCATATCATTTAAGGCTGTACCTAAAAGCAACTTCTGTTGGTTCACTAAGTTCAAAATTTTATCCTGAATGTTTATGTTAATTTTGAAACATCTCAGAGTCACCAAACCCTGATATAACCCTACTGGGATTCCTAGCTGGTCACCATCCAGTATTCCTGAATCCAGAAGAGACTTGTTATGAATCCAGACCAGGAAAGGAATTTATTGAATGAGGAATCCTTGTAAAGCTGGAAATGGATGATTTTTCTAGTAGCCATGAAGCTTATGAAAACGTCTATTTCTGAGCATCTATGTAAAGGGAACACTTCCAGTTAATGGAATATTTTGAAAAGTTTGGGATTACAGCTGTTTCGGACCCCAATCACATTTCAAAAAATGAAATATCCCATAAACTAGAAATGCTGTTTTTAGCCATATCTCATTATAATTTCTTTAGAGTTGCATAGTTATACTCTGCATCAGAAGACAGTGTGGTTAGTTTTGGAGAGAGAAAGGCCAACTGGTACTCTGTAAAATACCATAAGCTGACCTTCACTCTCTGAATTACATTTATTTTTTGAGGATTTGATAAAAACAACAACATAAACAACTCTGAACCTTTGAACTTAAGCAAAAATGAACTTTAATTACTGTTTTCTTTTAATTGTCTTTAGTCCACTGCATTTTTTGATTTTGGTCAAGACCAGAAAAAAAGTAATGGAAAAAACAAGCCATTCTTGTGGTATTTCAGTATGACCAAAATGACAGAGAACTGAACTCTTATGAAAGCTATTCTTCCACATCATTACTCTTACCCTCCCAAATTATTAAAGTTTGGATAAAATGTGGAGCCAAATGGTGCAGCTTACACCCTGATATACCAGATATTCCACATAGCTCCACATACCATACCCATTTGACCATCTGGTATAACAACAGAATTTACCCCTCTAGCATTTGGGTACATATCCAAAACAAATCTCTCAAAGGTTTCAAGTTCTTCCTCCTTATTGGTACTGCTGGATAGTCTCCACTTATGCTAGTTTTAAGCAAGCATAACTTTGGCACAAATCAATGTGTACTTGTTCTGTATTTATGCAGTGGAGTCCCATTGGCCATGAATATACATTCAGAAATTTCCACTGGTAGCAACTTTTCTGTGAGAGACAGTGTCTAGGTATTCTCTCTTTCCTGCTCTCCATCAGATTGGGATGATTCAGACCAGGGACATCCACGTCTGGGGAATGGCTACTCTAGGTCTGGGAGGGAACTGGAGCTATGTAGCAAACCCCCCACCCACTTCTCAGAGGCAGGCAAAAACCTCTACAGTCCATACCCATCTGACCATCTGGTAAAATTCCTTCTTAACCCCAAATGTGGCATTTGGTCTGACCTAGGGTGGAGGGGCCAGATGTTCTAGCCAGGAATGTTAGGGTTTTAGTCCCAGTGGGAACACTGGTATACCTTAGCCAAAATCCCTAGCCTTGACTGCAGGGCAACACCCAATGTTTCCGAGAAAGGTGAAGTGGCAGGGGAGGACGCGGGCCTCTGTCTCCACCTCCCCTAACCCTGTTATTCTTGATGAGCAATTTGCTAGTACATATATATGGCTCCAGGTATTATTCATATTGAGTTCATGAAATTGTGGAGAAATAATAATTCATCTTAAAATTGCACGAAAATCCATTTTCATGGATTTCATGGATTATTTTTATCGTATGAGGCCTCTTAAACTAGACATAGTTTAGGGCCTCAGCATGTCATAGTCCGGCACTGACTGATGTACACCATCAATCTGGGCAAAGGGCTTGGCCAGAGATGAAGAAATTTAAAAGTGACTCTGCTGCCAATATAACTGAGAATGGTAATTTCGAAATCAGATAGATTTGTAAGTTTATGATGTCCTATGAACGTAGTTTACTTGGTGTATTTAATGATATTGAGACTGTTTGACACTTGCTCATTTAACTTGCACTTCAAACCACAAATGGAAAGTTACCAAACTAAAAATAGCATCTAGTTGCACCTTGTTGTTGTCCCAAATATAAAATAGTTATGTATATACAGTTAGCTTCAAGATTGTTAAAGCCAAACTATGTTTTATAAAAAAAAATTAAAAAGTCTTTAATTTTTATCTGTTACCAGCTAGCTCTCCTTACCACTATGGTCAGTATTTAATAAAATATAAGTGATGACTGTCCATTGTGTTATACCTAGATATTTTATTTTGGTAGTAGTCATTTTTATTAGTAAAAGAAAGAAGAAAAAAAGCACTTGGTTATGACTTTTGACTATTTTTCAAGAGCAACTTTTATACATGCTTATGCTCTGGTATTTCCTGAGCTGATGTGCCAGTGTTTTGAGGAATCACATCTGGCTTTGTTGGTCACGTAAGCTTAAAATCAGTACAATTCCTTATGTACGTAATCTGACCTATGAAGATCTGTGCTTGGGATCTGTTCCAAACTACAGTAATGATACTCTCATCTCCATGAGTCAAGAAATATCTGAGAGTCCTGAAAAACTGTAATGTTGGTACCAACCCCACTACATATAAGGTTTCACACTAATGTCTCAATATTTTGATGAAACACTTTGGCCTTGTTATTTAAGAGCTGGACTATCAGCGTTGGGCACATATTCCTCCTTTTATCTTCTAACACAACTTGGATTGAGTAAGTGTTCAAACAGGGAGCTACATTTTTATTATAGTAAACTGTAGTGTTCTGGACATCGTGTAAGTGATATGTAGAAGGGAGAATATAAGAGAAATACTTCCATAGTACACAAATTCCTTTGATAAATTTCTGATTCTATTTCCTATTACTGAATGGACAATGGTAGAAATAAATAGTATCCCATAGTGTCCATATTTGCATTATATTACAAGAGGAAAAATGCATTTTTTTTAATGTTAGAAACTTGACCATAGCTAAGATGTGGATTAAAAATGCTTCAGTATTGAAAAGAAACTTGCATTCAAGTTCATGTTTCAGTACAGGCTTCCTGTGTGGCATTGGGCAAGTCACTCAATGTCAAATCTAACAACAAAAATCTAAAATTGTGATTTTTTTTAATCTTGTTGAGTTATCAGCTAAGTTCAGAGGCTTTTGACTTTTTGTAGGCTTTTATACCTTCTACTTCTGGACATACACATAAGTATCTCAGTCTTGACAGTGCTGAGTCATTGGGTGCCCTGCTCATTTCTAAACATAACTGGGATCCCGAATGTACCTTTTCCTCCATATACATCCCTGGCGCAGCATAATCCAAAAGGAGTTCTCAGAGTATGCCCGCAGCTAGATTCCCTTTTTCCCTGAAACCAACAGTGAATTTCTGTTTGGTCTGGAGTAACATTGTAACTCAGAACACTTCGCAGAACACCTTCTTAGTTACAGCTGGGAGTTGCACTTCTGTTTGCATCCCAAGTATCTCTCCTTAGGTGAAGATTTTCACCTGGAGCATCACAGCTACAACAACATCTCCAACCATTTCACAGCAGGGTACAGAAAGGAATTGAAGATTAATCTGAAAAAAAAAAAAGTTGACATGACTTGTAGCCTTGTGGTTCAGGCACTCACCTGGAAGAAGTAGGGATTTACATTCTTGTGGCAGGACTGTTTATGTCTTTTTCATGAAAATATCATGGGTTAAAAAAATATAAACAGTGTCAGGAGGAAGGACCAGAACTAGGGTCTCTCTCCTTCTATCTGGCAATATGTTCTCATCTACAAAGAAAGAATGACTGGAGTACTTTGGCAGGTGTCACGTCAGCTAATGCTAATGCTAAGGCTCAGATCCTAATAGCAGTTCACATGCAATGTGTTGGATGAGTAAATTGGTGAAGGAAGTTTTCAGAAAATAAAAGAATGTTTATGGAAGTGTTTGAAGGGGCAC